AAATGACGCGCAAGGATTTCTGGTAGGCAAAATAGTAGAGTATGTCTTCTAAATGAGATTCTTAGAGAGCAAGGAAGCACGGTTCTACTACTCCTACCATGAAAGGACGCGTCCACTAGGCAGATCTGTCGTGCTCTTCACAATCCGTACTAGTTTTGCAGGAGAGGTTCTTGCGTAACAGGCTCAAGATTCAGGACTCTGTGCGTTTTGCTGCAAGTTTACAACTTGATTATCTCCAAGCAACGCTTTTCCTGTTCGATTTCGTGTACTTTTACTGATACCAGTAAAGTCTCAAACTTTTCCAATTACGGCAAATTTCTTCTTTGACTGTCCATAGGAAGTCTCTCGGTGAGGATTCGTATCTTGCGCTTTTATTCCTTGCATTGAGCTTAGCGTGCAACAGACCTTTGGCTCGTGGTCAGCCCTCCTATGATGCTGGGCAGTGGTTTGGAAGGGGCGACGCAAATGAACGAAGAAGAAGAAGTAACATACAGAAAGCCTGCTTGTGTTATGCCGTGCTGCACAGTTCTTGCCCCACTCTTCCAGACTCCTTCTGCTGGGGCTCGCCACACTCTTAGGATCGCGGCCCAAACGAACCCGGAGAAGCAGCGCCCGCAGCGAGCTGCGCATCTTCTCTGCGTCGCGGAAGTGCCTCAGGCTTTGCGGACGTCCTTCAAAATGAAGGTCATACGCCTAGCAATTCAGCATGCCTGGACCTCGAGTTTGGAAGCCCTTAGACGCCAGCCATTCAACTCCCACGGCAGGGCAAACATAGGCGTAATCACGCGTTGAGGAGCACCTCACATTTTTAAAGACATTTCCCGCTTCGCGCTGTACACGAGCTAGCTTCCAGCAAAGATATCTGCGCTCTCGCTGTGCGGGCGTTTATCGCAGAATCCAGTGGCAACAGTGAACCTGTTAGCTGGTCCTAACGGTTTGACACGCAAATTATTGTAGTGATGGCTGACCTGTGACTGTTGAGGGTATCCTCCAGCACAGGAAGTGCGGTGCTCCGTTACCCGCGACCGTTGTAGTGCTCGAGTGCGCTGCAGCGTCGTTTGCATTGTCTCATATTAAGTGTCCTTTTTCAAAGGATAAGATGCTAGCCTTTCTTTTCTGATTTTGGCGTTTTTTTTCGGAGCAGTCTGCATTTAGGGTCCACCAGCATAGCAAGCGCCGAACCCACGAATGACTTCCCAAGGATTGGTGTTAGCGGCAGTTAGTCCCCCCAGCTCCAAACTTCACAAGAACAGGTTTTACAGTGTCTCTGAATGGGGTCAAATAGTGAAGTTCACAACTGCAACTATGATGGCCGTACCGTCAGACCCCAAGGATTCTTCTCTAGGCGCTGCAGTTGGGTGCCTACCGCAGCCACCATGCACCGCGAGCATCTGCAGTGAACGGGTGCTCAGCGAACTTCGACGAGCCCATTAGCGTTCTTGGAGTCACTAGATGTGTATTCCGACTGCTCATTGCTGAATCCCAGGCGTCTAAGACTCGAGAACTGAAAAATGGCAGCCCTACGAAACCGGTAGGCAAAAAGTGGGTTCAAAAGAGGTTCCAGAGAAACAGATGGGGCGTGCAACCAGCGAACGACTTGCGAAATCCCCGACACGTCGGCTCTTCCTAGGGAGTTTTGCAGGAATGCGTCTTGATGCAGCAATGCACAAGAGACTGGAGCTCTTTCATGCCCCAAAAATACAAACAACGAAAAAGATACTAGACTGCTAGCAGTCCAGTATCCTTTTCGTTGTTTGCACCCTGAGTGCACTTCCCTGGGTTTTCATCACATGCATCTCACCGTGGGACGTCCCCGTCAGTGTATTATAGAATTGACTCAACGGGAAGGCCTCTGGCCCCCTGTCAACTTGTCCAGCGATACACGTACCAGTCTCTACAGGATATACGATCAAGAAGCATCGCCTCGAGGGTCTGCTAATGGCGCACCGCTCAACAGTCACGTTCGCGCTCGCGCTGGAAAAGCGTTGCTGGAACATCGTGGTCAAATATCACGAATGCGTACACTTTTCCAATAGCAGAGGTATTGCAGTCTCCTGTCCCGCTAATGCAGCAAACCGCTAGAGCCAAGATCCTTGCTCAGAAAACTGTTTCTCACCCATTGAAGTGATGGCGAAACCAGTTCCAGATGACGGAATAGCTGCAGTTAACGGTGGAGGGTTTTGTTCGCCGTTTCCTTCCGCCAGTAGACCGGAGACAAAAAGCATTATTCAGATTGCACAGGACCCTGGAAGCTGCGGGCTCTGCATGACGAAATCACTGCCCTCTTACAGATACAGTAGCCTGGCTTGAGTGAGCCCCAAGAAGATTAGAAAGCGCCACCCACCGAATTCGGAGGCGTTTGCACCTTATTCGGCGCAGGACTGTCATGCTGCTGGCCGCCGACCTGCATTGAACAAGGCGCTCTCTAGGAACCGTCAAAAGCTTGGTAAAAGCTAGTTGTGGCAACAAGCCTACACAAATCTAAGGGTTCTATGTCTGATTTCGTGCGCGCAAGTCAAGGTAGCCCTTGTAATGCTGAGTGTTCATGGCTCGCTTGTAACTGCTCGCAGAAACTAAGCACCAGGCATAGTACGTGACACTGTCTCTAAGCATCTTTAAAACATCCCAGAGTCCAGAGGAAAAGACATCAAACTCAAAAACAATAATTACTTCCGCTTTGCCGTGATAATCGGCACTTGGATAAGGTAAATATGCTCTCTGCTTGTACTTTCTTGTTGCGCTGCTGTGGTTGTTGCTGCTGCTGCTGCAGCTCCTGCAGCAGCAGCTGCTGCTGCTGCTTCAAAGGACTGGATTTGTTTTCACTTTCTTGTTCATTTAAATCAATTAGAGGACCAGCAGCTTCATGCAGAGCCTCCAACGTAACAAAGGGCCCCACGGGAATGGAGCCCCGAAGGTGGGGCCCCCAACTGGGGGGCCTCCAACTACGGGGGCCCCCACCTAGGGGGCCCCCACGGCGAAGACAGGGGGCCCCCCTTCTGGGGCCCCTCTTTTGGGGGCCCTTGAGGCCACAGACACTTCGAGCTTTAGTGTTGCCTTCTGTTCTTGGCGAGGGTTTTAATTAAACAACAAATTATAAACATTTGATTTATTTTCTTCATCTAATAGAACAATTGCATGCGCATGCGGGTCTGCTATTAGAGCCTTCGCACACCGAGGGGCCCCACAGCAAGTAAGTCCTTTCTAGAGGGGCCCCCTTGAGGCCCCTATGGGGGCCCCCAAGAGAGGGGCCCCAGCGGCGGGTTCCCCGGATAAGCAGCTATGGCGCAACTGCAAAGGACCCCACAAGCGGCCCCTATGCCTTTTGGCCTCTTTGGACTTTTAATGGGTTTTAGTGTCATTAAAAACATATGCTGAGGTGAAGACAACAACCCCACCTGTTTCAGTTCGTTATTTTGTTTCCTTTCGGCTCGTGCAGAGCCTCAGGTGTACGTACAGCGCAGTGGCTGAGCTCGCTGCGCGTGGGGCACTTTCTGAAGGCTGAGGGGCCCTTAAAGATATTTTTAGTGGAGACCAAGAAGAAAAAGAAAATAACAAACAAAAGACGGGGGAAAGAAACAAGTCGCGAAGGCAGTGTGCTTGGGATACGGCTTACCTCCACTGCTTTCTAGCAGATTTCATTCCATGTGTCAGAAGCTTCTGTCTGCTGTCCTGGAGGAGACTGACCTGCATCACATGCCGTTCCTTAGCTGCCTCCCAAAACCCAGCAAGCCCAGCTACACTTGCCTCACTCATTACAGTTAAGCTATCAAATATCCCTGGGAAAAAAGCCCCAGCGCACACAAAAGACGTGCGCAACAAAAGTGCCAGTTTAAATGTGAAAAGGTTTCGACTGAAAACTGACTGAAAACGGGGACAACAAGCGAGTAGCATGCCTATCTCCTTTGCCAGTCTCGCTGGCACTTTCTGCCTTCGTGTCCCCAATGTACAGACATAACGAGTCGAAGGAGAATAGAAACCAGACCAGGCATGTTTAAACACAAAAATGCTATAGAAAAAAGGATTTGAAAAGAAAATTCCTTGAAGGGATACCGCTTTCTTGTTGACGGATTGGAGCGAAGGGGACGTCCAGTGGGCGGGGTTCGAGCGGCGAGCGGCTTGGCGCATGTCTTCTCTCCTCCATCTTCTCCTTCACGTTACTTCAGGCTAAATGAAATGCATATTGATTAATTTGTGTTTTCGCGCTGAACAGTGATTTGCACCTCTCGTGATAACACCGCCAACTCGAATGTTCTGTTGTTCTGCGCTACCGCGTCACCAACGGAGATCTACGCCACCCAGAACATGCCTAATGTAAAAAAAACATTGCACTTGGAAAATTCTTTTTTATACTGGCTTGCTCAGCTTGTGTGCATGCATTTATTGGGGCAAAAGCTGGTGGAAAACACCCACATCAGGCGTTTCGAATTTATGCCTGCACAAATGTCCATTGTAACATATCTAGAAGCAAACCCCGATTTAATTATGTAAATAAGGATAAGTTGGGAGACTAAATCACTCTTGCTTCAAATCACGTGGAGACACTGTGGAGAGTCAGCGCGTGAGAAAGCCAAAACACGGCACTTCTCAACAGCACTAGGTTCAAAATGCCCACAATGCGTTCAATTCAAACACTTACTTGACCAACAATGATACAAAAACATTCCAATTCACAAGCCCGCCCCAACGAAGTGAACTTGTATGGGGAGGCTTAAGCTGCCCATAGAAGCATGCATGGTATATACCGCCACTGCATCACCGGAAGGTAAGTAAAAACTATTAGGCGATAATGCGTCTGGAGTATATCGAAAATGACACCAAGTCGTGCAGGGAGTGCACTCCCAGCATCTCCTCGTGGCAGCCCTCTGTAGGGGCTGGAAAAAAGTTCAACTCCCGCAGTCTTCAAGACAAACGATAAGAATTCCCTTGGCTTGGTGTCCTGAATTAATTGTTGGATGTAGCATATCTATCCAGTGCCTGCATGCTGCACTGGTGCTGATAGCTCAAAAAAGACCGTAGGCGAAAAGGGTTATTACTAACCCAAGGGCCAGTGACGGCCTGGCCTGTAGAGCCCAACTGCCTTTTACACTTTCAGTACCATTCATAGCGTGGGCAATCTTCTGCCACTCATCTTCCCTGCAAATCCAGCCACAGAAACAATATATTGATGACTCAGCATAGTGAAAGCAAGTGCCACACATAATAACTACTTCTGCACAAAGTTATCAATGCGCTTTGATTCTTATGTAGCCAGCTAAGTCCATGGTCCTGTGTGTTCCTACTTGAATGGCGCTGCTCCAGCAGTCAAGGCCTCCGGGTTCGTCAAGCAGATAACGGCAGTAAGTGTCTGAGCTTCAGCTTGAAGCCTTCTTGGTGAGTGGCCACCCTGGCTTTTAGGTTGTGCTGCAGCAGCAGCTGGACCTGCGCCCGTTGTTGTGCAGGTGGCAAAGGCACAGCTGGCCACAGGGCTCGCCTTGGGGTTATAGAGGGCGACAAAGGAGATACCCCTGTCGTTGTACACTTCAGGGTTGCCCAATTCTACGTATGTTGGAGGCAGCTGGTTATTGAAGAGAGAAAAGCCGTCTTTCCACGATTGCACTGCTGCTTTGCAGTCCTTCTCGCCAGGGTAGTATGCGGGCATGCCCTTCAATTTTTGGATTTCAGTTATTTCGCCAGCAACCTTCGCATAATAGAACGAAAGAAATCCCAAATGTGGCACCCGTTACTGCATTCGCCGTAGTTTGTAAATTAGCTAGGTATAACAGAACTGACGACAGCAGTGTGCTTGTGGAGCTTCTTACCCCCATTATTTTCTTGCATATTTGGTCCCATAAAGTAGAAGCTGCTACGTCTTTTCCTGAAGAAGAATGTTCCGGCAGAATTTGTCCTACTTGAGTTGCCTCCTCAAACTTCGGCAATCCCGCTGCCATTCTTGCCTCGTTCATCTCGCCTAAGCAATTAAGCGTTTCTGAGAGGAGACTCCAACACACACAGAAAAATTGTGAAACAAAACTAGCTCCAGGCTGAAATACCAAAGGAATTGCATCAAATCAAAGAAAAGACGGGAGTAATATGCCTACCTGCTTTTCCGGTTGTGGTAGCGCTTTCTGTCTGTCCACAGAACACCGACGCAAAAACGATTGACATATGAAGGACGCGAAGCATCTTGAGCATTTTCAATCAAATAAAATTCAGGAATAAAAAGGCCAGACGAGTAAGCTCTGAAGGGAGTTGGAGAACGTTGCTTGCCTCCCTAGGAATTACCGTGAAGGGGACCATTGTGGGCAGGGTTCCCGTGGTTGTGCTTGTCGTTGAGGTCTTTCCTTTTTTCTTCATCTTTTTCACAATAATTCAAGTAAAAAAAAATATAGATTATCTTTTTGTAACAGCCCTACACGTGGGTTTTTATGTATTGTGGTACATCTGCCTTCCAGGTTCTCTCGCTTGGAGTTGTCGCAACACCCATCGAGATTTTCACAGCCAAGTGCATGCCCAATGCAAGTAAAACTTCTCCCTTGAGCTAAACTTCAATATACTGGCCTAATAAACTTTTTTCCTGTTTTGAACTGCCGTATCAGGGAGCAAGAAACATCGTAATCCCTGCACGAATGCTCGCCAGCAACACGTTGCAGAGTGGTTTAAACTCATGCATGAACAAGTGTTCACTACAACCCACTTAGATGCGCGTTCATTCATTTACCAAAACAAGGTAGAATAATAGATGCGCGTTTATTCATTTACCAAAACAAGGTAGAATAATTTGGGGGACAGGAGAACTATTGATCAAGTTGCTCCCCTCTAAAAGATGTTGGAAGCGCACCATGGTCCCTCGGCCCGTCAGACGTTACAGGGTATTTCTCGACGGCATTGTATTCAAAATGTCCACAATGAGTTCAATTTAAGCATTTGCTTGTTTAAAGAGGATACAAAAGTTCGCAATAACGTACAGTTAAAGTGACCTCGTGTGGGGAACCTCAAGCTGCTCACACAGACATACATGGTGTACACCACCACTGTATCACCCGTTAAGGCTACACGCGCTTAGGAATAGCCACAGAACTGACAGTCCTATGGAAGGTAATGAGAGCTAATGGGCAAAAATAGTTGGAATTACATCGAGAATGACACCTGGCTGCACATGGCGTGCGCTTCTGGTGCGGCTCGAAGAAAGTTCAACCCCCGCAGTCTTCAAGACAAACGATAAAACACCGTAAGAAATTCCTTGGCTTCGTGTCCTGGATTATGTGTTGGATGTAGCATATCTATCCATTGCCTGCATCTTGTATTGATGCTGATAGCTTTAAAAATGCCGAAGTCGAAAAGGGTTATTAGTAACCCAAAGGGCGAGTTACAACCTGGCATGTGAAACCCATTTGACTTCTGCATGCGCCTACTGTGGGAGATGTCCAGGGACTAGGTGCAGTGCACCAGAACTCACGATGGCAGTGTCCCTGTGACACTTACCCCCACCACGTTTTTGCATATTTGCTCCAACAAATCTGCCGGTGTTGTTGTTCTACCGGTGCCAGCGTGTTTCGGAAGTACTTGTGTTTCAGCGATTGCTTCCTTAAACTCGACGAGTCCCCCGGCAGCCCTTGCCTCATTCATCTCAGCGTAGCAACTAGGCGTTTCTGAGAACTCCAATACACACCAAATGTGTGACGGCGAGTAATCTCCACGCTTAAGTGCAAAAAATGTGTTGCGTCAAGATGAGGCAAAGACAGGAGCAAAATGCCCACGTGCTGTTCCGGTTGTGCTGGCACCCTCTGTCTTGTGTCCACAGAACACAGACACAATAACGAGTGGAATACAGGAGAGACGAAGCATCTTTCAACATAAAAGTGCTAGGAAAAGAGATTGCGGGGAAAATTTCCGAAGGGGGCTGGTGAATGTCGTTCCCTTATCGGCGAATGGGTTGAAAGGGGACATCCCGTAGGCCGGGTTGGAGCGGCTACGCTTCATGTTTGCATCTGCCTTCGTTTCATCTCTATTCTTTTCCAGACCATTCAAGCTAAATGAAAAGGATATCGATCAATGTGGATCCACGCGCTAAGCATCCATTTGTGTCTTTCTAAATCTTCACTGGATGCCTCACAGGTCCTGTTGTTCTGCGTTATTGCGTAACCCACATTAATCACAAATTTCGGGCCGCAGCACGTCCATGGAATAATTGATGGAAGACAGCTTCACAGAAGCGATTTTCGGAATTAATCATGCTATCCTTGGTAGAATCAACGGTAGCCACCTTCAGGTAGGGGGTCACTGAGGCCTCTGGTATTTATCGTTTATGTCGAGAAAAGCAGAAGGTGAACCCTTTTGCAGCCACTGCAGATAGTTGCCGGGAGCAGGTGCTGGCGATGCATGCTATGTGCTAGCAGGTGAGATTTTCAATATTCTCCATATGTATTTATGCCAACCAGTCCCAAATTTCTTTGGGATCACTACCAATGTTGTGCCTATATTTCTGCGGGTGCAGCATTGTTGTAGTGTACTGGTGTTGCAAATCATGCCCGCTTGTTTGGGCTGGTTGAACGTCCTCACGCCAGGTCACTTCCCGCTTGTGTCATGGCACGTTTCCGTGTCTTTATTGGTCAAGGAAGCCCAAAAATGGAAAGTATTGTAATTATTTTGGACAAAACTTCGTGGAGAAACGTGATTAACTGTTTGCCGTTAACAGTGGCAGTTGTGATGTTGCAGTTTTTGTTGTTCACCTTACTTTCCTCTATCTCCGTGATTCAGGCCCATCGTGCCACACCAGGCATACAGCTCGTGGGCATATACTAGCACTCCTTTCCTTTCGTCCAGGCCGGCTACTGGAACATATGCGGCTGAAAGGATCACAAGACACGCCATTTCAGCGTACTGACCGATCACTGTCAAAGAGTAAAATTGTAGTGCTGTAGCTGCCTGCTCTTAGCGGATCTGAAGCTGAGAGATCCCGTTGCAACGAACCATTCACAATCATGGCCTACTCTACTCACAGGCCTACCCAGGTACCGTCTGTCTTCTTTATTTCTCCTCCGATACATTCACGTCCACAATAATCCAGTACTGACCAGTACTGACGACGTCGCTGTAGACGGTTGCCTGATACCACAGTAATTAAAAGGGGTCCTTATGTAATATAGGGGCGCTTTTTAAGCCAGTACATTCCTCGCTCCGAACAGGCAAGAGCTACTCACCTTCAACATTCGGCATCGTAGCATGCCACAAGAAGTTGAGGACGTGTTAGGAAGCGAGCTATGCACTTTTTACCTCCTACAGCGGTGTTTCTGAGCGCTAGTCTAAACGCTTGCGTCGTGCTATTGGCTGATTATAATTTAAATGGACTACCGAGTAAGGCATTCTACAGTGTAATGATTCACTAGCAAATGCCTGACCGGTATTCGAAGTGTCGAAGCAAGCTTAAAAACACAGTTGATATCTCAATTATCCGTTTCTAGCTGGAAGCAGCTATCGTTTCCTTCAAACGAATTCCCGCAATTGCACGATCAGCTTCGAAATGGCATATACGCCACCCCTTTGCCAATGGTATAAGTGCGTGAAGTACGCAAGCCCTGCTGAAATAGTCAAGTAACTGCTTGGTGCCCAATATTCGTAATTAGACATTTTGTTTATTTAGTTCTGATAGACAAGCTTCAAAAAGCTCAAGGTTTTCCAAGGCAGAAAACAACCATTCGGTTATTGTTTCATGCTGATCTGCATGAAATCTTCCATGAGTAGAAGATAATACTCAGCCTCACACGATGTACGGTCCTCTGCTGCGAGGGCTCATATGATATCGTGTTTCTGCGTTTTAATGTCGTTCTGGAAACGATCGCATCTGCCAGCCACGATTTCATCCAAATAAATAGAATCGAATTTCATTCGGATAAAGTTTTGAAAGGTATGGCTATTGCTACTGTCCCAAACAGCCGGAGGCCTCCTACAAGAAAGCAAAGGTGGAGATGGCTGCCGCAGAAAGAAGTGCGACAGAAGGGCCTACGGGGGAAACTCCGCCCTTGCTGCCAGAAAGCGCCTCACCGATTTTATTCCATTCATCCTCGCTGCAAATACAGTACAAAGCACATTAAACGAATGAATCTGAACAGGCTACAGTGCATCTGAAACGGATGCATTGGCTGCCCAAGCAGCACGGAGGGTTGTGTACGCGTGGTCTATAACGAATTCGTACGTGAATGGCGCTGCACTTTTCGTCAAAGCAGGGGGGTTAGTCAAACAAATGACAGAGTCAACTGTGGTGGAGCTATCCGAGAGTCTTCGTGAAGAACCAGGGACACCAGGGACACTAGGGGCAGCAGCGGAAGCCGGAGGACATTGGAGGAGCACGCAGCTGACAACGGGATCGGGCTTGGGGTTGTAGAGGGCGACAAATGAAACAGCTCTGTCACTGTACACCGTGGGCAGGTTTGTGCCTTCGTATTTCGGGGGGATCTCATCATTGAAAAGGGAAAATCCGCCCTTCCAATATTCCACTGCAGCGTTGCAATCATTTTTGCCATCGGCGACGGGGTAGTACGCAAATGTACCAGTCAACTTAGAAGCTTCTGTAGTTCTTGTGGAATCCGTCTATACTCAACAGGAAGAAGAAGAAACATGAGCTGAGTGCCTATATGATTTCGGGCTCTGAAACAGCCTAGAACACTGAGAAACTCTACTTTGACAACGCAGGGATTGCGATTTACCGCTGTAATTTTGGGGCATATTTCCCCCCACAGTGTTTCAGCGGTTATTTGAACGTCCCTTTGAGAATTTTTCTCATATTTTGGTAGAACTTGAGCAGGATTCGAAGCAGCTTTAAATTCGGCGAGCCCTGCGGCCGTCCTCAGCCCGTTCATCGCTTCCAAGCACTCCAATGTTGCTGGGAAAATTGCCGCACACAATTTACGGGAAGACGAATGCAGCCACACAATTACGACTTCACTCAAAATTAGTTAGTGCAAGCGGCGCGCGAGAAGGCCCTCACTTGCTCTTGGAGAAGTACCGTCCTGTTGGGCTCTGACTGCATCCTGCCGGAGGAGCAACGACACAGTAAAGAGAGAAACGAAACCAAGACGAGTCATTTTCGGTAGCAAATTAGTAAGGGAAAATGTTTTTCAAAGGCGACTGGAGCGTTTTGGTTTCGTTTCAATGAGTGACGACACGGCTGATAGCCTGTTGACGAG